AAGGCTATGAGATGCATCCAGACTTTTTTTTTTTTTCAAGATATTTCGATATAATTATTTTTTATGATAATTTAATCTAGGAAGATATTTGCTCAACTAAAAAAAAAAAAAAAATGAGGACCTTTTTAGTTCTTAATGAAGCACCAAACAATTACAACCATTCATTTACTTATTGACATGTTGAGTATGGAACCACAACACTTACACACAAACTCATTGTAATTTCTTATTTAAACTCCAAACCAAGCCACTACATATACCAATTATGATTATAATTGGTGAACACTTAAGTTCTTGTACTTCTAGATCAAAAAGGAAGTCATGGAGTTTGAAGTCATGAATCTTCTTTGGTCTACTCCCTCTATGAAGATATTCTTCTTCGGCGCCTTCGTCGAAATGATCTTATTGATCACCATACCAATCTTTCTTAACCCTGCATTTGCACGCTTTGGCACAGCCTTCACATGTTGCAATAGAGTTCTTCGGTTGTAGTTGGTGACGTTGTTGCCGCCGAGCACCACCACAAGTTTCTTCCTCCTCCACTGTCCCTTGAAAGCCCTCATTTTCCTCTTGTAATTTTTTGTTGTACAATTTCTTTCTTTTTCTATCTCTCTATACTCTTTTCTTCCTTCAACACTAGCTTTTGGAGCTTATATAGTGTTATTTATTGCTAAATCTTTCATGGCGATACAAATAAGAGAGATATAAGAAATTTCCTTACTCCCATTGATATTTTATACTTGCAATGAAGAAGGTCAAAGAAATTAAAATAAACGAAAAAATAAATAAAATTTATTTAATTAATACTAAGATGACAGGCAAAGAAATTAATAAGCGACCTACTCTTCATATAGATGTAATTAAGCTGATTATATATTTTAATTAGTATTTGTTTGAGTGATTAAAACCTCACTAAACCGCTAAATGTCATGCAAAAAGTGTTGGGAAGGATCTTATGTTTTGTGGGCAAAAAATAGTAAGAATATTTGAACCTTTCATGTACTAATAAATGTAAAATATTTGAAGAAAGTGATGCTTTGTTTTCATTATTTGAAAAATAAAAATGAAATTATCATTGTTTTAATGAAAATTTAAAAAGAAACTATAGAGTTTGGAATCAATATAATGAAAATAAGCATGGTTAAATTTTATTTTTCATGCTTATATCAAATTTCTTCTTTGGTTAGCCTAATCAAACAAGTTTGATTTCATTAGAGAAATTAGATATGACTTCCACATCTAAGGTAGGAGATTGATTTCTATGAACCAAAAATGAGTAGAAGGTTATTAATAATAGAAAGTGGGATTGTTTGCATGTTTGGATGAGTATGTAAAGGATGAAAATCAAGATTATAGGTCTAATGAAACTTGTTATTGATATGGGAATGTCGATCATGAAAAATTAGTATTGAATGAAGATCCAGCTCACAAATATTGATAAAATCTAGTCATACTAAACACTAGAGTTTTTTCATGAGAAAATAAATAGAGTCACTTTATTTCCACATGAGCATGTCTAATCTTGAAATTTCTTAATAAAATTTTAATCAGTATACCAAAAGGTGACTCCATGTTTAAGAGTTTTAACTTCTTTTTCTTAGAAGTTGTCACACGTAGTAGAAGTTGGAGGAACCCTATGACATACGAGCTATCTTCAAGAGACCATTTGTTGTATGATTGATCATATTTGTATGAAGAGCTAAGAAAAAACTCAAGAAGTCCATCATAAATCTTAGAACTAACATCAAAGTTAGAGTGGATTCATTGGTGTATATTAATCTTTTAGGTGATGGCATGTCTTAATGTTAGTGACGATAATAATGATGAAGTCAATGGCCATCAGTGCAATCGATCGATAGTGATCATGTCATTATAGTTGGGTGATAGTGATTAGGAGTCGAGTAACAGTGGTTAGGAGATCATAGTTGAATGACGAAGGTTGTAGAACCATAGTCAAGTGCATATGGCATGACCATATTCAAATGACAATAGTCAAAGGACCATGGTTGGACGACAATGATCAGAAGACCAAAGTTGTGCGATGGTTGTAAGAATACTTTAGTTGGGAGATAATGATCAGAGGATAATATTTGGTTAACAATGATCGAAGGAGTGAAGTTTAGTGATGATCAATATGAGATGATAGTTGGGTGATAGTGGTCAAAAGAACATAGAGGAGCACACTAGTCGGGCAACCATACTGGTGAAACGATATTTGGAAGATTGTAATGGGCCGGGGATAGTCGTTGGAGGACCATAACGAAGTGAAAATGGTCTAAGGACCATCGTTTGAAGGATATGGTCAAAGGATCATAATTAAGAAATGATTGTTGAAGGACCATACTTAGATGATTATGGCTAAATATCTTTGGTCAGATAATTGTGGTCCGATAAAGATGGTCAGATGGCAGTGGTCTGATGTTGTTGGTCAGTCAATGGTGGTCCAAATGATAATGATTTGATGGTGATGGAGGAATTGAGATGGTTTGATATCGATGATTTGATGATGGATGTCTAGTAGCAGTGGTACAATAGCGGTGGCATACAATAATGGTCTGATCGTGGGGGTCAAGAGGTGGTTGTACAACATTAGTTATGTGACAATGATTTGACATCAAGGGTGAGGAGATGGTGGTTCAACTGTTGAGGTTGGGCTCTCTTGAATATCAAGCCTCAGTCCCCATCATATAAGGAGTGGAGGTCTATTTATTAATTTGGAGAGTGGCACACTCATTAAATGTAGATAAAATCCAAAACACTCCTATGAACTGCATGTTTTGATATCATTGATCATATAACATTTTTCAATATTTAAGCTCCTTAATGACGATTAAATTAATTGATCTTAAGCTCGTTAGATTTTTCTTATTGAGAAGCTTGATTAGACTATAAGCATGTGAGATTTAAAAAATCTTGTGGTCCTCTAATTTATATCTCAAAGTTTTCAATTATGTCTCAAATGCTTGATATTGGCTAGTTCGAACTCAGATTAAATTACTCCTGGTGTTGATGACTTGTCTAGTCTAGATGTTTAGCTCGACTACAATTTGCTAAAATCAAAGCTTGTATGGTCCTTATAAGTTTGATTTCAAAAGTTTCCAGTTAATTTACATTGAGATTTTTGTTCGATCATGTTAATTTAGTGATGATGTATCAAGCCTTAAGTCTACAAAATTATAATTTAAATTAGAAAATTTTCAAAATTTATATTTTTTTTTTAATTGAGATAGATATAATGTAACCTACTTTGATTCGAACAACTTTCTAAATTTGGTCGATAGTACAAAACAAACTAAAGTCATCCAAAACAAAATTTGTCTCACTAAACACTCTCCCTCTCCCCCCCTTTCTCTCTCTCTCTATAAATGGCTGCTTAGGGGGTTATTTTTAATTAAAATAAAGAATAAAGCGAATTTTGATATTTTTAAAAAATTTAATATAACGTCGTGGTGCTCCAAGCAGCAACGCCACTATGTAAGCTTTAATCAAAATAAAATAAACCAAAAAACATGAGCATAATGCTATAACGCTGCCACCCCAGCATTGCAGTGCTCTCGAGGGAAAATTTTTTAAATTTCTATTCATGCATGCATACCCATGGGATCTGCTTCTGAACAAAGTTAGACATTCATATCCATAGAGAACACTCATAGACACATGCAAGTGGTGTTAATAAAAAAATCATTATATTACCTTTATCAATCCATATCAGAATAGTATAATTAAACAATATTTCAGTACGTATTACACTAACTATTGTCACCACAGTACAATCTTATAAACATTATCGCCTAATTATACCATTGCTCGTTGACTTTATCATCTATCATTGTCAGTAGTGTCGACACACGCAATCACCTGTAAAATTTATGCAAGTCGTCAACACCACTCTAACTCCCAACCTTATTAGTAAGATTTATACTGAACTTCTTGATCTTTGGTCTCCCTTCTTCATAGGAGAATGACCAAGTATGCATCAAACAATCTATTCAAGATAACTCTCATGCCATAAGGCTCTTCCAACGTCCACAACGGAATTCATTATATAGAGTTTATGCAAACTATACTATTTCAATAGTTCCCTTAATTAGAGGGTAGGGCTTCATTTGTAGCCAATCATAAAGAGTAGTCGAATAATATTAATTTTTGCTAAGCCTCTTGATTTTTTTTCTTTTTCAAGTTTTTCATTTTAAAACTCTAGTGTCTCATGTAACTTTTTGCTTCATCTTCATAATACGAGTCTTAAAATATGTGCATGTGTACAATACTAAAAACTATTTGATTTGAGAAATAACACTTATGTAACCTTAAATAACCGTTTTAACAATGTAAGCACTCCAAAACAGTGTATTTAAGAAAAGTTAGCATTAGCATGTACAAGTGTGCAAATATCTTTAATAAAACATTACATATAGAGAACGTCTCAATATTATAAAAACCTAATTTTTAATAAAAAGTTGGCATCTTGTTTTAATGTTTTTAATATTGAATTAAAGAATTTATGTGGCTCATTTTGATCTGTTGGTTGGGAGCTTTGACTACCAAGAAGATTTTAGATTCGAGTCTTATATATGTGTAAATTTACATTAATAGACCTAAATGTTTAAAAAAAAAAATTAAAGAGTTTAAATGCATTTGGTGGCACTTTTCTTAATAATACTTTCCAGCGACAGTTTGCCCCGTCGAAGGGTTTATGCTTCGATGCGTCTAGCGAACGATCAAGATGACACGCAGGTCCTCGATGTCGATTCCCCTCATTCAGGTATCTCCCATTTATTCTTCATCTTCTCTTCCTGTTATTTTTTTTTTTCTGATCTTTATCAGTTCAGGTGGCGGCGACGTTTTTATGGCCGGTGAAACCGTTCCGCTTGATTGCGGAGAGACACAGCGGGTGGATAGCGGTGATGAACAATTCGGCGAGGGGTTTGAAAACTGGGGACAGACACAGGTGATGGATGAATTTGAGGAGACTGAGGTAGTACGGGATGAAGATGAAGATGGAGGAGGGCAGTCGGAGAGGACGGAGTTGGTGACTGATGAGGAGGAATTGGGTGATGACTTTGTAGGAGAGGTTGAACCAGGTGTGAGAACTAAAGATGCGGACTTGGTAGATCCTGATGCATCTACTGATGAAGAGGGGGGTTGCGGCAGTGGTGAACCAGGTTGGGTTTTATCTTTGAAGCATTGTTTTTTTTTTTCCTTTTTACTTTGGATCAATAATTATGTCTAAAACTAAGGGGCTGTTTGACAACAAGTAGGATTTAACTTGAATAGGATTTACTAAATTCTGTAAATATGTTTAGTAAATCCTGATGAAGTTAAATCCTGAAAATTATTAGGCAACATGAGTGTTAAATCCTGTGGAGCTGTTTGGCAATGTAATTCTGGATTTAAGGCTGTTATTCACTTATTTGTAATATGAATTATATTTAAAATTCATTTACTCACACAACGACCAAAATTTTAATATTAAAAATTTGAATGTTGTAAAGTACCAAGATCATTATAGAATTGACATTACAAAGAAAAACTCGATGGAGATTTGGACTGCAATAGAACACAATAAAAATCTAAAGCCATATGTCCAGTTCACAGTTGAACCCGTCGGTGTGGTACAGTTTTCAAAACCATTCTTTCCACCTCTAGTTTTTTGTTGATAACACTCGGCTAGCAACTTTTATTGCAACAATTGATGCTAATGGTGCTGAGGTTGGGCTTTGTTCGAAAGCTATCTATTCAATTCAAGTGAAGGTAGTTGGTCTCCTAGTTGGCGCCAACACTAGCCTGACGACTTCTAGGAGTTGAAAGATAGCAATTTACCCCTAAGAGAATGAAAAATTCTAGTAATGCAGACTAGGGAAAATGAAAAGAACCCTTTCCCACTCTTATAGGTTGCATTATTGGGATGAAGATGACATCTCTTCTTTTGACTCGAAGAAAAGATTCGAATTTAGAGTTGCCAATTTCAATGTCGATTCTTTTTGTCGAGAAATAAGCTAAATTCTAGCATATATGATATTGGTCGCTCTATTTTTTTAATGAGTGTTTGAGACTTGCATATGACAGTAATGCGTAAAGAGTTTAAAGTTAGAATTTAACTTTTTATCTAGCCAAAGAACACAAAAGAATGCTTGGAAAATACTTAAATAAAGTTAAAGAATTTAAAGTTGTAAATGAAGAAAAGGAAGTTAGGTGATTTCTTAGGAACTTATATTGAAGCTGACATTGATGAATAAGTCTTTCATGAAGAAATATTTCGTTATGGTGTCCAATCAAATATAACATTTACGTCAAGAACTCTGGTGGGGATGGAAAATTGAGGTGAGTTTGTCGAAGTTCGAGCATATATTTCAAAAGGTTTCTAAATTTCAATGTTCTATAAATAAATTAATATCTAATCCTAGTTGGAAGAGTTTAGTTTATTCATTAATGACAACTCAAACTCGGTTAACCGAATTGGATACTTTATTAAAATAAAGAGTTTATGAATGATCGAATTGTCGAGTTAGAAGCCATGATATAGAAAAATAAGGCCATGAAGATCAAGTCATCTTGAAGGCCTTTGGAGATTTATGTAACAATTTTATATATTGAAGAATATGGCGATATCCTCACAAATATGAGCAAGGTATTGTATTTTGTTTAGTGACTTTTGTAAATAGGAAAAGTTATGAAATTATTACAGTAATTTGATTTAATTTTGGGTCAATGAGATTAGATTATATTTCATAAGTTTAAGTCATTAGAAACATTAGGATGCGTAGATTATTTTTGTCTAGCTAGCCCCAAGTCAACCCACTTAGTTGACCTAAGCTGACTTGGACATGCCTCAGGGTGAACAAAAAATTCTTGTTGGTCATATCATTATTGTATGAATATCATGATATTTCTCTTCAAGAATATCATGATATTCAAAAAATTAATTAGGAACATGTTTAGCACACATTGCTTGTCAATTGACTAGCTCTATTTACCACACTTTATTAGACTAACAAGTTGATTGATATATTCGTGATACTAATACGTGATTTATATCCTAGCTTGCAAGAACAACATTTATGATAGCTATCATTGGATTGTGAGCTTTGAGCTCTCAAACTCTCTTGTCAAATCTTAGGTTTTTTATTTCATGGCATTAAATATCACATTTGTGTGACAAATCAAATGGTACTTATAATCATCCTCACTTCACCATTCTACTAGGATTTCCTTAGTACTCTTGTATGTATTGCATTCTAAGGGTTAGTGCTACATCTAGAACCCTTGGTCTTGCATTTAACTCAGAGAAGCCAAGTCTATTTATGTTTGGATAGATGGTTATCAAATTTGTACATTTGTAGTGTTTGACCGAAGTACTCCTTGCCGTGTATTCCTCTAGGATCTTTGCAAGAAATACACGAATACGTGTATAAGTCAGATGACTATGTTGTGAAGGCAAATTCTCTGTTTTTAAGGGACTATAGACTGAAATGCTTCTTTCTCATCTCTCAGAGAACTCCAACATGTTGGTGCTTTTATTGATGGTAATGTTGATTGCGATGACAATGTCGCTTTTTGGTCAACATGTCATGTTTGTCATGTGACCTACCTTGCTGATTTTGAGGCTATTGAGAATTTCATATAAGATTGGTGTTGCTTGGCCTGGAGGAAGAAGTTGAGGTTGCATGATTGTACTATTTAATATTTATGTGATTCTTAGGAGGCTTGAACAATTCTACAAATTTTTTTAACTACTGCAAACTGAGTGTGTATCTAAAAGAACTCTTGTGGAGGCCCTGATGTAATGCTTCTTGGGTAATGACTAGCTACAAGTTTGAATATCTAGCAGCTTGAATTATAAACGGGCAATAAAGTTATAAAATAATTTTTTAGGTTCTATAATTTTTTAGGTTCTAGCCTCATGTTAGGCCTTGGGAGTTCTTCAATAGATGTTTTGCATCAACAAACTGCATGATGAACCATTGCTTAAAGTCTAAGAAGTATGTAATGCTCCCCAGTAAAAAGTGCAAAAAGCATCGTGCTGGTGCCTCATTAATGGTGGTGAAGAGAAGCATACATTTCATCACATCATTGACAGTGAGAATGGAGATTGTTGATTCAAATCAGGCGACACAATAGGTTGGATTTGAATTCCCTCAATAGGAGTCCAAGACAAGCATTTGTAACCTTGGGGGAGGTCGAGCCTTGATAATTTCCATCAAAAGGGTGTTGGTGGATTGAGTCTAATGCATTGTTGATCGTCGAGGTAGAGGAACCTCTGTGATTCTTCCTTTTAGATATATGGCTCATCAACGGGAGTTAAAATAGTTAATGCTCAAAGTAGCGACAGAGAATGTTAGAGGCGGCCAAGTCACACTCTCAAGGAGGTTCCATGAGAGGAGTAGCTTGTGTGAATCATTCAGTGAATCTTTGGATCATCCTAGTGAAACAATCCTCTATTTGATTGAGTTGCTTGGAGGTAACGTGATCAATGAGGTAGTTGCTCTGCCAAGCTTTCTCCATGTCTTTGGGATGTTCAATGGCTTGGTTCCTCGCAGCTCCAAGTTTAACATACCTTTGAGGATGTTCGATCTAATATTATTCATGGAAGGTACCAATACCTTACTATATCTACAAATCAAGCCCAAAGAGGAGAGAGGTAAAAGAGATACAAAGTTTGACAAAAAAATTTAGTTGGATTTTAGTTTTCAGAGAGATTCAGCCTCATTATCAGATTTTTCCATGTCTACGGTCCACCTTTGGCCTTTATTTATAGGTGTTAGCCATGGTCAACGACACATTAAGGATTATATATGAAAATAACATAAAAAAGTAGATGATTAAATTTTGTATAACTAGTTATGTAATTGATAAGTTTGGCTAACAACTATTTTATGTGCAAAAATTGACAACAAATTTTGAGTTGAAGGCAAGTACCCTTGATGAGTTCTAACAAAAATCCTTAGTTAGCATTATGAGTGATCTAAACGAGCAATTGAGTTTTACAGGTGCATTCAACATTTAAGTATTGGGGATTAAGTAGGTTCAATCTATTGGTTTACTCAAGGCTTTGGGCAAATACTAGGTTGGTTCATGACTAGTAACTTACTAAATCGTGTTTAGGCTCTCATAATGACTTGATCAATATGATCTAAATGAATATCGAGTGTACATTATGTATGCATGTATTATAATTTAGAATTTTGCTGCTTTATACATAGGTATATTCATCTTTAAGAGTATATGTATAATAAAGTTAAGGGCTTTGAGTGTGTGACATTGCCTGTCCAAAAGCAAGTTAGATGAACTTGATATTATATAATGTATTTTGCAAGGGTGAAGGTAGTGGATAATGGTTTATGGTATTCTTCAAAAAATTGCATCTTGGCTTAAAAATTTTTTGCTCCATTAATTTCAATATTTGATATTTATTATGAAAATTGGGTTATAATTATTGTGCTTCTTGGAATATAATTCATGAATCATTGTATATATGTCTATCATGTTAATGCATGGATAACTTGGGAATCCGCCATTAGTAGTGAAATGCAATTTTTTTTTTTCTTTCTAAGTGAAATGCAATTTAATCATGTTGCATAGCTTCAGGAATAAGATATATAAAATTGTTTGACCAAGTGTTGGATGTATTATGCATATTCACGATATGGAAAGGAAAAGAAATCTAAAATATTGGTTGCAATCTATGTCAAATCTAATATATTGATGAAGAGATTAATGCCAGAATTTCTTGGAATTTCTAATTCATAGGTGTTTTGCCTTTCTTAAATTGAATTTTTTAAACAGTTCTTGTAGAAAAAACTGTGGAGTTACAAATGCATTCTTGCCTTTCTCACCTGGTGTATTTTTCATACATCTTATCACATCATCAACTACTTACAATTATCATAATTAATAATTAATTGATTTGCCAATATCTTCATTCAAATCATGCAAATGACAATTATAATATCATGCAAGTAATGACAATGCTAAAATATTAGCATGCATTTTAAGGGATACTTATGAAGATTTATTAATTTCTAAAGGAATAAATGATGAACAAAATTTAAAAATTGTCAAATCATATAAATATGATGCATCTATATTGTTGAAATCCAGCCATTCCCAGTGCAAAGGATCCGACGGACACAAAGATCAATCCGTGGGATACTCTCATGGATCA